AAAAAACACATCAACGCTTACAAAACAGCTTAAAAGGCATCTCCTGGGGAACGTCTGACATTACAGGAGCTTTACTGATCATGAAGATAAAATCAGGCCATTTTGGGAGTGACCTGAAAATGTCTGACTTGGTTCATTTGTTTCAGCTGAAGCTTTGTTTACACATAAGCAGCATTTTATTTTTTATTTTGCTGCAAATATTGTTAGTAGGTACGTTTCAGCGCATTTTATTTTTCTTAAAGTTGTTTTAATGTTTTGTATTGTAAATTAGCACACACCTAATGTTTTGCAGAGCAACATAAAAAGTACAATTAATGTATTATTTATTAAACTAATTATTTAAATTACTTCAGTTTAACACATATTTTAAAAAGGTGAAAAGATTAGTCTAGAACAGCGGTGCCCAAACTTTTTCTAATAAAGGGCCAACAACGAAACTTGATTGAGGGCTGTGGGCCGAAGTTAAATATACCAAGCGGTATTACATTAAATGTGCCATAGATAATTTCCTACTTTATTTGCTAATATTTAAAAATAACTAAAAATGTGGCTTTAAAACATATTAATTAATGATGCAGTATCATTTTTACCCTTTTATAATTGAGTTATTATAGTAAAAATATTTACAATCCCATTTATACACAATGGAGTTCAATGCTGAACACACTAGTTGAACTGCTCTTGCCTTTGCCTTGATATGTTCTATGTTGTGTGCATTGTTGTCAATCAGTATTTACACTTTAATTAGGAAAAAGTCAAGAACCGAAGCTGATAATTATTGTAAAGCTAATTTAAAACGTTCTGCATTATTTAAATAATAAATATAAATTATTTAAGTATATATATATATATATATATATATATATACATAAACATAACATAAATAATGAAAATAAATAAATACACTTAAAAATAAAATAAAATAAATGTATTTACATACAAGTATTATGATTAATAATATAATATACATAATATAAATGAATAACAAATAATAATATTAAATTATTAAGTAAACACAATTAAAAACAAAATAAAACAAATTTTATATAAATACAATTAAAAATAAACTAAAAATAAAATAAATGTATATACATATAAATAAATAAATAAATAAACAAACAACAAATAATAAAAATAAATAAAACACTTAAAATGAAATAAAATAAAATTAACATACAATATATATATATATATATATATATATATATATATAGCAAATAATATAAAATAATATAAAATTAAATTAAAAAATAAATACATTTTAACACACACACACACACACACACACACACACACACACACACACACACACACACACACACACACACACACACACACACACACACACATATATATATAAATTGCAAATAATGAAAATAAACAATAATGAAACAATAAAATAAAACAAAATAAATATACATAAATAAATAACTAAACTAAACTAATTCATAAATAAATAAATAAATACAATTAAAATAAAGGCTGCAGTGGGTAGCATGATCGCCTCACAGCAATCGAGCCTCGGCTGTGCCAGTTGGCATTTCTGTGCAGAGTTTGCATGTTCTCCCTGTGTTTGTGCGGGATTCCTCCGGGTGCTCTGGTTTCCTCCACAGTCCAAAGACATGGGGTATAGGTAAATTGGGTAAGATAAAATTGTCCGTAGTGTATGTGTGTGATTGAGTGTGTATGCGTGTTTTCCAGTGATAGGTTGTAGCTGGAAGGGAATCCTATGCACAAAACATATGCTAGGTAAGTTGGCTCATTGGTTCATTCCGCTGTGGCGACCCCAGACTTATTAAATTCAATTGGCAAACTAAACAAAAAACCTGAATCTTTATTATCTGGTGACATTTTTGAAATCTCTTTTAAATAAAAGCTACATAATTTATCAATTCATGCTAAAACCTCAACCGTGTGGAAACATCACTGACACCCTAATGACCATGACAACTACACAGATGGATGCTCTCAATTAAAGTGGTCAGATATTAATGGAGGCCAAATGGATGATGAATAGTCCTTTGACACACAACAGTCCCGAACTCTCCATGAAATACGTCAGAAGCTTATGAGGACGATGACAGGGTTAATCACAGAACAACAGATGAGGGAGAAAAACAGCAGCGTTCAGCACACACACATCCAGCCATGAGGAAAATAATGCTGCGTCAGATTCACAGGAGATCATTAGAAGACACGCGACAGCATCTTCATTTTTAATGATCCGTCTGAGAGATCTGGGCCAATCCCACAATTGCCTGCAGCCACCGCTAATAGGGTTTGATCTGAATATGTGAATATTTTTACTGTCTCCCAACATTGCATGTAAAAAAATATATAGTATATTAAAATATAAACACATACAGTTGAAGTCAGAATTATTAGCCCCCCTGGATTATTAACCACCCTGTTTATTTTTTCCTCAATTTCTGTTTAACGGAGAGCAGATTTTTTCAACACATTTCTAAACATAATAGTTTTAATAACTCATTTCTAATGACTGATTTATTTTATCTTTGCCATGATGACAGTAAATAATATTTGACTATATATATTTCAAGACACTTCTATACAGCTTAAAGTGACATTTAAAGGCTTAACTAGGTTAATTAGGTTAACAAGGCAGGCTAGGATAATTAGACAAGTTATTGTATAACGATGCTTTGTTCAGTAGACTATCGAAAAAATATATAGCTTAAAAGGGGCTAATAATTTTGACCTTAAAATAATAAAAAAATACTTAATTCTAGGCGAAATAAAACAAATAAGACTTTCTCCAGAAGAAAAAAATATTATCAGACACACTGTGAAAATGTCCTTGCTTTTTGAAAATTGTCACTGCTTAGTTTCAATTATCCTTTGAACAGATTAGCAGGCCTAATATTAACCGTGCGCACGTGATCATCTTTTCACTATCTCTCACGGTATGTTTCTTTTCACCTGATTTCTTTTGCTTACAGTTATTTTTTGTTAATATAGTTTAATCATAATTTTTACAATAACTTTGCTTTAATATAAGATCAACTTATATAATATGTGACAATAATAATTTTTTAAATGTAATTTTTTAAGAGCAGCTGTTAAATTAAAAAACGTGCATGTATACAGCTATATTTTGCTTGTTTTGACACATTTAAAATTTGTGGCTAAGAAAAAATGAATTATTTATTTTTGGTGTGGTCAGAGATCAATTTGGCAAGTCCTTTTGATCCCTGAAAAGTCATGTGAAATAAAAACTAATTGCAATGTGACACAACCTATTTGCTTATGCACATTGAGCAGCTCATACACAACATACAAAAAAGTGAAATGAATAAGGGGCACATGGACAACACAACATCTAAATCAAGTAATTTTAGCATGTCAAAGTCAAATTCATGCATATAAATTTTATTTTCCCAACAACAAAAGTGTGACTAGTGAAAATGTTGAGTGGCTAGTAATGTTGGAAATCGACTAGCCACAGTGGTTGGTGATCAGAAAAGTTAATATCAAGCCCTGGAGATAATGAATACAGTATGTATTTGTTTTCACATATGAATACAACAGAAACACATACAATTTTACTAACTATGTGTCCACTTTTGAGGGCTCAACACAATTTTATAAATCTAGACAAAATAGCCTGAGCTATAATGAAATCATTTAAAAATATAAAAAATCTCGGATATAATCAAAACATTAAATAAACCAATATAAAACAAATAAAAGCTATAACGATTTAGGAATAAACAGTGTAATATAAATTAATCAACCGCTTTAAGCCATTTTGAACTTTATTTTTACAAAGGCCTATCTGAAAAAAAAGATTTTAGATATTTTCTAAAAACAATAAACAACGGAGTTTATTATAATTTTATTATTTTATAATAGTATTTGGATGCGAGAATATTAATCATCAAATTAATATCAAATTGTGTGAACAGCATTTTTTTTTTTTTACAAACGAATTGGGAAAAACTGCAGGTAAAAATGTGATTATGACATCAAATGTTTTTATATACAGTTGAAGTCAGAATTATTAGCCCCCCTGAATTATTAGACCTCTTATTTATTTTTTCCCCAATTTCTGTTTAATGGAGAGAAGATTTCTTTCAGCACATTTCTAAACATAATATTTTTAGTAACTCATTTCTAATAACTGATTTATTTTATCTTTGCCATGATGACAGTAAATAATATTTTACTAGATATTTTTCAAGACACTTCTATACAGCTTAAAGTGACATTTAAAGGCTTAACTGGGTTAATTAGGTTAACAGGTTAGGGTAATTAGGCAAGTTATTGTATAACTTATTATTGTATAATTTTGTCCCTAAAATAGTGTTTAAAAAAATCAAAAACTGCTTTTATTCTAGCCGAAATGAAACAAGTAAGATTTTCTCCAGAAAAAAAAATAATATAATCAGACACACTGTGAAAATTTCCTTGCTCTGTTAAACATAATTTGGAAAATATTTTAAAAAGAAGAAAAAAATTTGAAGTGGGCTAATAATTCTGACATCAACTGTAACGTGGTAAAATTAAAAAATGAAATTAATCATCGCGAGAAAGTAATCACATTATTTGCTACAACATCAAAACATATTCTTGCAAAGGTGAAACAAATGATGTCTTAGAAGTCAAAAAGAGTGAATTTGCGGAGTGGAAGTCATGGAAAATGGAGTGGATGTTCTTGGCTGGTGGACGATGAGCAAACAATCCCACCCAAAATATGTTAAATCGCTAAAGCTACAGTGGATTCAAAAAAATGTTCCTCCACAAAAACACGTTTACAAAGCCTAATTTCATTCGCTGCTTTCATCATTCATTCATCAAGTTTAAATGTGACTAACAAAAAGCATCACTGCAGAAGGACCAACCCAAACCAAAAGACACGTAATATCCAAGAGTATTTTAACTTTTAGAATTAAACTTGAAAAACGACACCAATGCCATGCCGTACTCGGTTCTATTTGCTGTTTGTTCAAACTACTTATATAAAATGAGCCGAAACAACATGACTCTTCAGTTTTTATTCACAGAAACTTGTTTTATGTGCAATCCACTTAAATTTGTAAAAACTTATCAAATCAATTGTGTGGACCCCAGCTTTTTTTTTAAAAAGTGTACTGATACTACTGATCCAGTGATTTTACAGTGTACTCATCCTCCCAAAATCAGACCCAAGACAAAAGATCACAGGGTTTTCGGTTAAGCGAGTCTCAATTATATATTGTCCGTGTTCTCAGACGACATTGGGGCCTTGGAGACTGAAATAGAAACTAGGAAACCTGATAATGCGGAGGTGAAGCTTTCTTCCGCAGGTGAGGAATCCGAGCAGCAGAAGCAGAGCCGTCGTCAGTGTGTTTCTGTTCGTCTGTGAGTCTCCATCATCAGTCATGAATCTGCTGCTGCTGCTGCTCTGTGTCCTGCTGGAGATCCTGGCCGTCAGCTGTGAGTACAGAGCAAACATTACCATGCATACATACGCACATTTAAAAATTCCCATTGGCATCTTAAAATTTTAATTAATATATTTCACATCAAAATGTAGAAGACGATGTTGTTAAAGTTAATGCAAAAAAAAAAAAGTAAAAATGTAGTTTGTTAAATGGTGTATTGTAATTTTAGAACAAATATAGAAAGAGAAAACATTTTGGATTCAATGTGTAAAAAAAAGTCACACGGTTGAAATTTTTATTTATACCATAGCAACAATACTAATATACAAAGCTAATAATGTGTAATGTAAAATATAATATATATTTTAACAACAAAATATGTGCCTTTTCTGTACCTAAAATTAAGTTAGGATGTCAACAGATTGTGTCTCAGAAATTCCTTGAAATATATTTAGCAATATTTAGTAAAATTGTAAGAATAAACATGTATTAATTAAAATTAATCTATTAAATTTTTCATTTAAATAGTTTGTTACACTATTTAAAAAATCAATTGAAAAGAGCTGAATCTTTTGGTTGAGAAAAAAAGTTAGCAAAAAATAAATAAAAATAAATAAAAATAAACATGAATAAATGAACGAAAGAACGAAAGACAGAAAGAAAGAAAGAAAGAAAGAAAGAAAGAAAGAACAACTGAATAAATAAATAAATTTATTATTTTATTTATTAATTTTCCTTCAGCTTAGTCATTGATTCATTTTTTCATTTTCTTGTCAGCTTAGTCCCTTTATTAATCTGGGGTCACCACAGCGAAATGAACTGCCAACTTATCCAGCACATTTTTACCCAGCGGATGCCCTTCCAGCCGCAACCCATCTCTGGGAAACATCCACACACATTCACACACACACACACTACGGACAATTTAGCCTACCCAATTCATCTGTACCTCATGTCTTTGAACTGTGGGGGAAACCGGAGAACCTAGAGAAAACCCACGTGAACACAGGGAGAACATGCAAACTCCACACAGAAACGCCAACTGTGCTGTGAGGCGACAGCACTACCTACTGCGCCACTGCTTCGTCCCTTCAGCTTAGTCCCTGATTTTAAATAAATAAATAAATAAACAAATGAATAAATAAATGAAAAAAATAATAAGGTAAATAAATGAATTAACTTTTCTTCAGCTAAGCCCTAATAAATAAATAAATAAATAAATAAATAAATAAATAAATAAATAAATAAATAAATAAATAAATAAATAAATAAATAAATAAACAAATAAATGAACAAATACTTGTATTTATTCATTAAATTTCCTTTGGCTTAGCCCCAGACTTTAAACAAACAAACAAACGAACGAACAAACGAATGAATAAATAAATACTTTTATTCATTCATTTTCCTTAGTACCTAATTTTAAATAAATAAATAAACAAATAAAAGAATGAACAAATAATGAAGTAATTTAATTAATTAATTAATTCATTAATTAATTAAGTCATTAAACAATTAATTCATCAATTATTCCTTATATTTTCCTTCAGCTTAGTCCCTGATTTTAAACAAAAAATAAACATAATAATAAGAATAATAAATTAATTAATGCTCCAGGGACAAATGAGTTTTCGCTGAGGCCAGCTTTTAGCCTCCACCGCTGAGACTGCAGCTCTGCACAAGACTTTTAGCCAGCGGAGAAATTAAAATGGTCTTGCCTAACTGAGTCTGGTTCTCTCAAGGTTTTTTTTCTTCACTCTCCTATCAGGTGAAGTTTTTTTTGCCTCTCCGCTGTTGCCGCTGGCTTGCATGGTTCAGGATTGGTAGAGCTACGCATGGATGAATTTGCTCTTCAGTGTTTGGACTCTAAGTAATGACTTTAAACCACACTGAACTGAGCTAAACTGAGCTGAACTTAAACACTAAAAACTGAACTACACTGTTCCAGTTACTATGATCATTTATGTGAAGCTGCTTTGACACAATCTACACTGTAAAAGCGCTATACAAATAAAGCTGAACTGAATTGAATTAATAAAGTAAATGAATAAAGCAAATAAATAAACAAACAAAAAAAATGTTCCTTTAGCTAAATTTTATTAATTTAATAATTAATGAATTCATTCCTGATTTTAAATAAATAAATAAATACTTTTTAAATAAAAAATAGTAATTTAATTTAATTTAAATAAGTTATGTAAATAAAGTAAATTAATAGGATTAATAAATAAAGTAACTAACTAAATAAATAAATACATTTATTTTCATTTGGCTGATCCTTGATTTAAACAAATAAATAAATAATTTAATTAATTAGGTAAATAAAGTTAATAATAAATTAATAAATTGATAAAGTAAATTAAATAAATAAAATTTATTTTCCTTCAGGTGATCCCTGATTTAAAATAAATAAATAAATAAATAAATAAATTAATTTTATTTATTCATTCATCTTCAGCTCTGTCACTGATTTTAAATAAATAAATAAATAAATTTTTTTTTTTTTAAATTATTAATTTATTAAGTAAATAAAGTAAATTAATAAATAAAGTAACTAACTAACTAACTAAATAAATACATTCATTTTCATACGGCTGATCCCTGATTTAAACAAAAAAATAAATAATTTAACTAATTAAGTAAATAAAGTTAATTATAAATTAATAAATTGATAAAATAAATAAATAAATAAAATTTATTTTCCTTCAGGTGATCCCTTATTTTAAATAAATAAATAAATAAATAAATATATACATTTTATTTATTCATTCATCTTCAGGTTTGTCCCTGATTTTAAATAAATAAATAAATTATAAATAAATAACATTTTTTTTTATTTAAAAATTTTTATTAATTTGTTAATAAATAAAGTAAATTAATAAAGTAACTAACAAACTGAATAAATACATTCATTTTCATTTGGCTGATCCCTGATTTAAACAAATAAATAAATAAATAATTTAATTAATTAAGTAAATAAAGTCAATAATAAATTAATAAATTGATAAAGTAAATAAATAAATAAATAAATAAAATTTGTTTTCCTTCAGGTGATCCCTGATTTAAAAATAAATAAATAAATAAATAAATGTAATTTATTCATTCATCTTCAGCTCTGTCCCTGATTTTAAATAAATATGTAAAATAAATTAATAAAAAAAGACTTACTTTAAGATTTGCTTGTCAGATTTGTATCTTGAGAATAAGACCCAAAACTCCACATTTTATTACTTTTACTCAGTGTTACACAATTAACACTAAAACCTAATACAAACACAAATAAACTCCAGAACTCAATAATTAAAATGAAAATGCTTGACCAATTTTTTTCTACGTGTGGCTGAAGTTTTGTCAGTGGTATGATTTATTGTATAATACAAATACGTGAACAAACCACCGTTTTGTTTCACTGATGGATGAGCCCTTCATCCTGACAGCCCTGATCTGAATGCATCTTCACTGAAGGAAATCAGGATCGTTTTTCATTTTCAACAAAACCCCCGCCGAAACGCTTGAACATGCGTGCGAGATCAATTAATCCATCTGACACTAAAGTTCAACACTGTTTACTCTTTTATTCCGCTAAAGTCAATGACTCAGCAGCAAACAAAAGATGAACATAACCTGTTCATTTGTGGGAATTGAAAATATAATATTTCCTCACGTTGAAAACTTCAGCTCGCTGCTAATCCTCGTGAGGTGCTCATTCAATCAAGGTTATATAATCTGCTCAATGCAGCGCGTATACATTTCACAACGTTTCACACGGGCTATTATTGTATAGGATTACTTGAACGGTAGTATGTACAACTGGCTAATTGTTAGACGACAATCAATATACCCAAGGGCCGCTTGTATGCTGGAGTTAACACTAACATCATCGTTTAAGCCAAGACACAGCAGGAGAAAAAGGTAAAGATTTACTGTAACTAATACTTATTATATTAACATAATTCCTTAGCTGATTGATTACACTAAAGATAGCAAAAAAAAAAAATATTATTATGATTAAATGTTTTGTGCTTTGTTGTATTACAAATGGTACACAGCAAAATCCTCTGAGTAAAATTTACAGTTTAGAGAGTATTTGGTCCCTCTTTAAATAAGTGCAAACAGGTCGGTAATAAGTAAAGCTGCTGTTTGCTGAGCTGCTTATTGTTTGATTTGATCCTTTGCTGAGATTTTGAGAGATTCAATGTATTATATTTTAGCCGATTTCATTCAAGGCTGTGACTAAAGTCAGTTGTAGTTTCTCTTCTGTTTCTGCTTATTAACAGCAGGTGTTCATCATCCGTGCTCAATCATCACCTAATTAATCCTTTCATTATCTGATTAACTTGAGTAACTTTAACTCAATTTAGAGAGGGACCAAATACTATCTAAACAGGGGTGTCCAAACTCGCTCCTGGAGGGCCAGTGTCCTGGAGAGTTAATATCTAACTCACTTCAACACACAGGTTATCTAGTAAGAGCTTGATTAGCTGGTTCAGGTGTGTTTGATGACAGTTAGAGCTAAACTCTCCAGGACACCGGCCCTCCAGGACCAAGTTTGGACACCCCTGGTCTAAACTGAGTAACGTTTACTCAGAGGATTTTGCAGTGTATATATATGTTTTTTTCCTGGTGCTCTGGGTTCCCTCACAGTCCAAAGACATATATGCTATAGGTGAATCAAATGAACAAAATTGTTCGTAGTGTACGTGTGAGAAAGAGTGTGTATGGACGGTTCCCAGTACTGGAATGCCACTGTGTAAAACATATGCTGGAATAGTTGGCAGTTTTTTCCGCTATGACGACCCCTGATAAATAAGGGACTAAGGTGGGACTAAGAAAAATGAATGAATGAATTAATTAATTCATATAAAAATTGGGCATTAACTCTGTAATTAGCATATCTAAACATAATATTTAATACACAAGTCAATTGTTCAAAATGATTTTTTATGAAAGTTTTTATGACTTTTCTTTAATTTGTTACAGTAGTAGTTGTAATATAAGTAACTTTCTGTAGTAGTAGTTGGTGTAGCACTTGTGATTTATTATTATTGTTGTCAGTTATTACTGTTGTCCTTTCTCTCTTTTTACTCTCATATTTATTATCATACATTAATAAGCATTGTTGTTACTCCCTACCTCTGACTGGTTTCTTTCTATATGTTTTATCTATATCTGTGACACTTGCTTCATTTATTGACTGTTATTGTTCCTAATGTACAGTTGAAGTCAGAATTATTAGCCCCCCTGAATTTTTAGACCGCTTGTTTATTTTTTCCCCAATTTCTGTTTAACGGAGTGCTAATTTTTTCAACACATTTCTAAACATAATAGTTTTAATAACTCATTTCTAATAACTGATTTATTGTATCTTTACCTTGATGACTGTAAATAATATTTTACTAGGTATTTTTCAAGTGACTTCTATACAGCTTAAAGTGACATTTAAAGGCCTAACTAGGTTAATTAAGTTAACAAGGCAGGTTAGGTTAATTAGGCAAGTTATTGTATAACAGTGGTTTGTTCTGTAGATTATCGAGAAAAAATAAAGCTTAAAGGGGCTAATAATTTTGTCCCTAAAATTGTGTTTAAAAAATTAAAAACTGCTTTTATTCTAGCCGAAATAAAACAAATAAGACTTTCTCCAGAAGAAAAAATATTATCAGACATACTGTGAAAATTTCCTTGCTCTGTTAAACATCATTTGGAAAATATTTAAAAAAGAAGAAAAAAATTTGAAGAGGGCTAATAATTCTGACTTCAACTGTATGTACTCTGACCTGTCCACCAAGTTACCTTTACATGCATACACACACTCACACGCACACACTCACGCACATACCAGTACCTGACTATATTGTTGATGTTTTTGTTTTGTTTTTGTTTTGTTGCTTTGTATTTGTTATCTGTTGATGTTTTCTTGTATTTGTATGATTTTTGCATATTCTAAAAAAAATAAAAATAAATAATAATAATAATTTGTTACAGTAAAAAATGTTTTGGGGGATTTAGTGAATCTACTTTTATCGAATATTGGAAACAGTAATAAAAAGCTTTTTTAAAGTGTAGAAAATATAAATTCATTCATTTTATTTTCGACTTAGTCCCTTTGATTTAGCAAATATTTAAAAAATTGCAAACATTTTATGACTTGATAGAAATTTATTTGAATGATTGTTATGATCTTTTATGAAGAATTGTTTTATGCGATGACAAAAAATTCACACAGATTCATCCAGAATAAAAAAGATTTTGGAATTTAGGAAATCCTTTTATCAAGTATTGTAAACAGCAAGAAAAAAGTGTTTTCGAATATTGTGACCAGTGAGAGAAAAAGTTTTTTTTTATTTAGGGAATCTATTTTCATCGAATTTTGTGAACAGTAAGGGAAAAAATGTTTCGGGATTTAGGAAATATTTGAAATGAATATTGGAAACATTTTATGACTTGTTAGAACTTTTTTTAATGATTTTTATGATCTTTTATAAAAGATTTTAAGACTTTTGCTGAAATTGCAAGAAATACATTATTAGCAACAACAACAACAACAAAGGAACACAGAAGTCAGGGTCATGGGCAAAAACAAAACAAAATAAACATTTAGGGGATTTAGGGAATCTCTTTATCAAGGATTTTGTACAGCAAGAAAAAATGTTTTGGGATTTAGAGAATTTTTTTTTTTTTTTTTTTAAATTTAGGGAATCTTGAATCTTGAATATTGTGAACACTAGGTAAAACAAAGTTTTTTTGAAAGTTAAGGAATATTTTATTTGAATATTGCAAACATTTTATGACTTGACAGAAAGTTTTTTTTAAACAATTTTTGTGATCGTTTATAAAAGATTTAATCCTTTTTTATATGATAGAAATATGCCATTAGCAACAACAAAAAATTTAAGGATCATCTAGAAAAAAAAAAGATTTTGGGATTTAGGGAACCTCATTATCAAGTATTGTGAACAGCAAGAAAAAATGGTTTTGCGATTTAGAGAATCAGATATTGCAAACATTTATGACTTGTTCAAAAGTTTTTTTTTTTGATTTTTATGATCTTTTATGAAAGATTTTGCAGCTTTTGTTGAATTTACTGGATGGTGCTTCATTCCACTGTGGCGACCCCTGATAAACAGAGAATAAGCCGAAGGAAAAGGAATGAATGATGAATGAATTTTCTGGAAACTGGAAATCCTTGCATAATGGATATTGAGAACAACGAGGAAAAAATTGATTTAGGGATTATTTGCTTTATCGAAATTGCGTGGAACATTTTTTCTTCTTTGAACGTTTTTTAAATGATTTTATGATCTTTTTTGAAAGATTTTATGAGTTTTTGAGTTTATGAGTAGAATTTGGAAATCAGAAAAGGTATTTTTATTGTGATCAACTAGAAAAAAAAAATGTTTTTTTTGTGATCTAGGGAATTCCTTTTAACCAAAGGTTGCATACAACGATTTTTGGGATTTAGGGAATTTCTTATTATTGAACACTGCAAAAACCAAAATGAAATAATTTTTTACATTTATTTATAAAGTAAAAAGATGAAGTAAATTTTCTGAGAAAAAAAAAGTTGTTCACTGTTGTTAAAGTGATGATTTTAATCCCAGTACATATGAACAGAAACTTATTTTGTGGAAATAGCCTTTATAAATATGCTTTGTAATTAAAATCTAGGCACAAACTGATAAACATGAGCTAAAAAGAAACACTTAAATGTGTATTTTGGGATATTTCTTGACATTAGATAAAAACATTAGGAAAACTGTTTTTGACTTTCATGTGTCATCTTAAATCAAATGTCACATCCATTTGTGACGTGCATTGGAAATTCTAGGAGTGCGTTCACAATTTTAGACATGCAAAAAACCCATTTACTATGCATTGTTTAGGATTGACTTACAGTTAAACATATTTAGTTACGCTCAACCCTTTCAAGACAAAGGCATGCATTGAGAGTGTCCTCCACGTGTGCTGTGACTAACTTTGCTTTTTTTTTTTTTTTTTTTTTTGGCAGGTCAGGATGTGATACAGGCCCGTATCGTGGGTGGATACGTTCCTGCACCATACTCCATCAAGTACATCGTGTCAATTCAGAGTGCCACGGGCCAGCACTTCTGTGGCGGGACTTTAATTAACAAATACTGGGTGCTGACCGCAGCACACTGCAACATAGGGTAAGAGGAGCTCTCATGTAGAGGTTCACACAAATACCCGAATTGCTTTCTCTAGCTTAAGTAGCAAAGCATGGGGCTCGCAAATTCAAGGTTGTGGGTTTAAGTCCCAAAGAAAGCAAGAACTAACAACACCAAGGTTGTGGGTTTGATTCTAAGGGAAAGCAGGAACTAACAACACCAAAGTTGAGGATTTGATTACAAGGGAAAGCAGGTACTAACAACACCAAGGTTGTGGGTTTGATTCTAAGGGAAAGCATGAACTAACAACACCAAGGTTGAGGGTTTGATTCCCAGGGAAAGCAGGAACTAACAACACCAAGGTTGAGGGTTTGATTCCCAGGGAAAGCAGGAACTAACAACACCAAGGTTGTGGGTTTGATTCTAAGGGAAAGCAGGAACTAACAACACCAAGGTTGGGGGTTTGATTCTAAGGGAAAGCATGAACTAACAACACCAAGGTTGTGGGTTTGATTCCCAGGGAAAGCAGGAACTAACAACACCAAGGTTGCGGGTTTGATTCTAAGGGAAAGCAGGAACTAACAACACCAAGGTTGGGGGTTTGATTCTAAGGGAAAGCATGAACTAACAACACCAAGGTTGTGGGTTTGATTCCCAGGGAAAGCAGGAACTAACAACACCAAGGTTGAGGATTTGATTACAAGGGAAAGCAGGAACTAACAACACCAAGGTTGAGGGTTTGATTCCCTGGGAAAGCAGGAACTAACAACACCAAGGTTGTGGGTTTGATTCTAAGGGAAAGCAGGAACTAACAACACCAAGGTTGAGGGTTTGATTCCCTGGGAAAGCAGGAACTAACAACACCAAGGTTGAGGGTTTGATTCCCTGGGAAAGCAGGAACTAACAACATCAAGGTTGAGGGTTTGATTCCCTGGGAAAGCAGGAACTAACAACATCAAGGTTGTGGGTTTGATTCTAAGGGAAAGCAGGAACTAACAACACCAAGGTTGTGGGTTTGATTCCCAGGGAAAGCAGGAACTAACAACACCAAGGTTGCGGGTTTGATTCTAAGGGAAAGCAGGAACTAACAACACCAAAGTTGAGGATTTGATTCCAAGGGAAAGCAGGAACTAACAACACCAAGGTTGTGGGTTTGATTCTAAGGGAAAGCAGGAACTAACAACACCAAGGTTGAGGGTTTGATTCCCTGGGAAAGCAGGAACTAACAACACCAAGGTTGAGGGTTTGATTCCCTGGGAAAGCAGGAACTAACAACATCAAGGTTGAGGGTTTGATTCCCTGGGAAAGCAGGAACTAACAACATCAAGGTTGTGGGTTTGATTCTAAGGGAAAGCAGGAACTAACAACACCAAGGTTGAGGGTTTGATTCCCTGGGAAAGCAGGAACTAACAACATCAAGGTTGTGGGTTTGATTCTAAGGGAAAGCAGGAACTAACAACACCAAGGTTGTGGGTTTGATTCTAAGGGAAAGCAGGAACTAACAACACCAAGATTGCAGGTTTGATTCCTAGTGAAAGCAGGAACTAACAACACCAAGGTTCAGAGTTTGATTCCCAGGGAAAGCAAGAACTAGCAATAAAAAGTGTGTCTTTGTTAAATTGCGCTAAATGAAAAATCGCTAAAATGCTCTAAATGGAAAATGCTATTTTGCTTCCTGTAACTCTAATGCAATGCTAAACAGTAGCTCAAACAATAAAGCATTGTGCCAGTAACAAAAGGGTTATGGGTTTGATTTCCAGAAAAGCAAGAATTAACAACAAAAAGTGTACTTTTGCTAAATTGCACTAAATGAAAATCGCTAAATTGCTTCTTGCACTAAATGGAAGTTGCTATTTTGCTTCCTGTAACTCAAATCCAATGCCAATGTTGTAGGTTCAATTCCCAGGCAAACCAAAATCTACCAAAAAAATACCTTCCCTAAATTGAGCTAAATGGACGTCCCATAACTCAAAAAAAATATGGTGCTAGTAGGGTTGTGGGTTCTATTCCCAATGAAACTAATAGAAAAAAAACTAACAAGGAATAATAAAAAAGGGTGCCTTTATTGCAATGTGTGTCGCCAAATTGGTTCATTTAGCTCAAATTGTAGAGCATTGTACTAGCAACAAAAAGGTTGTGGGCTCAATTCCCAGAAAAAACAAGAACTAACAAAAAAATAAATAAATAGTACCTTTACTAAATTACATTAAAGTTAATCTCTAAATTGCTTCCTCTAATGCAAATGCAGTAATGGTGCTAGCAATGCTAATATTGTGGGTTCTGTTCCCAACAAAAGCAAGATCTGATAAAAAAAAGTGTATCTTTAATGCAATGCAATATGGATGATTGGAACAGCATACTTGTGCTTGTATGTTTTATATATATCATTTAATTATTAAAAGTAGAGAGCAGCATGGTGGTTCAGTGGTAAGCACTATTGCCTCACAGCAAGAGGGTCGCTGGTTCGAGTCCCGGCTGGGCCAGTTGGCATTTCTGTGTGGAGTTTGCATGTTCTGTCTGTGTTTCCTCTGGGTGCACAGTCCAAAGACAAGTGCTATAAGTGAATTGGGTACAGTTAATCAATTTGAAAGCCACTTAATAAATAGGAGTTTATAACAATAAGCGGCCTGTCCAAAACAATGGTCAATACTTGTAATACAGATTAAAAAAACTAAGAAAAATGTTTATCATAATCATGTTATGTGCCATACAGACACTTCAGAGAATACATCCTTACCTTTTATTAATGACAATAATATTATATAGTATAGTACATCCTACAATACCCATAATAGAATTATTTTACCTTTACATTTTTTGCACATTCAGGCCTTAACAGTGTACTCTAAAGATGAATAATGGTGAAACATAACAAAAGCACATTTACACAGTTACAGTAGGTGCATCTGGAGTCATTCATTGGGACAATAATCACTGTTTATGTGTCTCCAGGGAAGCCAACATGAGGATCGTGGCTGGAGATTATTCAGTGGGATTATATGAGGGGATGGAGCAGTTTCGCAGGCCTCATATGTTGATACCTCACCCACAATACGACAGAAGCACCAATAACGCAGACATCATGCTCATTAAGGTGAGACGTTTCAATCAATGCTCCTATGTTACACCAACTGACCGTCAGAGCCGTGAATCATTAATTCCTTTCATGCATACCAAATGAACACAATGATCCAGCATCAAATCACGTTACAGGAAGTGACAAGTACTTGTCTTGGTGCATTAATTTTTCATTTCGTTTGCTATTTATACTACAGCATTTTGGCCATTTTTATTAGCTAATTATATATCATTAATATGCATGAGTTGAAATCAACGAACAATTAAAAGATTTAATCAACTTCTGACTAAATTATATTGTAACATGTATTTTGCTACCTTTTTAAGGTAACTGTAGTGCAAAAAGCTTCAATTTTATTACACATGTAAAAAAAACTGATTTACACATCAAAAATTTGATATAAAACATTATTTGCTACGCTAAATAGGATCAATATGGCATTAGAACGTGTGTTAATTTACAATTTAAAATAAAATAAGTTAAAATAACTTAAAATAAGACTATTGATGTTAAGCGAGTTTAATGTAAGTTGAAATTACTTTTAAAGTTAAGTTTGATGAAATAATAAAATAAGAAACAACTCATTCTTAGATAAGCAAAGCCAAACAAAAATATGTGTAATGGCATTTCTATATGTAATATACAATGCAATAAATAAATAAATCAAACTATTAATCAAATCTACAGGGGTTACTTATTGGCACTAAAATAAAATTGGCAAGATGAAGGTCTCAAATGTTTCAAAATATTATTTTATTCAAAGAATGCTATTAAATAATATGTTGCAAATGATACTGGTGAATCACTTGACTCAAAATGAAAATTCTCTCTCTCAAGCCATTCGAGAACACAAATGAAGATTTTTTAGATGAAATCTGAGATCTCTCTAATCCTCCGTAGACAAAAACATTGTGACTACAGTGCTAACTGTAATCATGCAAAGCTCCAAGAACAATTTTGTGCACCCAAAAACCCATAAAACAACTTTGTTTTCCTATGTTTTGTGTATCAGATCAGGATGTGCGTTTACTTTGGGAAATATGACGCATGCATGTTGCGTTGCTGATTCTAATGACATTTTGTCGTACTGCCTATAGTAAATGTGCACCATGAACTGTCACAATAGTGAAACTATAGCCGAACAAAGCTTTTTTTTACTGTTTGTTTGTTTTTTGGTGCACAAATGTGTTTCTTAGAGCTTCATATCATAACAACTGATCCATGGAATGTTTTAACAAATATTCTGGCTTCTTTTGTGGTTGTTTTGAGACCTTTAGTGTCTATGGAGGATGAAAGGGGTCTGAGATTTCATCTAAAATGTCTTCATTTGTGTTCTGAAGATGAAACAAAAACATTGTCAAAACATTCCATGTGACTGCAGTGGTTCGACTTATCATCTGAAGCTCCAAGAACGATTTTGTGCATCCAACAAAAACATAAAAACTTTGTTCCCCAATGTTTTATGTATCAGATCAGGATGTGCATTTACTTCGGGAAATATGACGCATACATGTTGCGATACTGATTCTAATGACATTTTGTGGTACTGTCTATAGTAAATGTGCACCTTAAACTGTCCCAATAGAGAAGATTTAGCCAAAGTTGTTTTTACTGTTTGGTTGTTTGGTGCACAAATGTGTTGTTGGGCTTCATGTCATTACAATTGATCCATGGAATGTTTTGAGAATGTTTTTGGTTCCTTTTGTGGTTATTTTGAGGCCGTTACTGTCTATGGAGGATGAGAGAGCTCTGGGATTTCATATAAAATATCTTCATTTGTGTTCTCAAGATTAAAAAAAAACATTGTCAAACCATTCCATCTGACTGCAGTGGTTTGTGCGTGTGGTTTGACTTTAAGGTGCTATATAAATAAATATTGTATTGCATTGTATTGTTTTGAGGCCAGTGCGGTCTATGGAGGATGAGAGAGCTCTAGGATTTCATCTAAAAGCATCTTAATTTGTGTTCTGAAGATGGACAAAGGTCTTAGGGATTTGTAACAACATGAGTATTTAATAACAGCTTTTTTTATTTCTGGTTGAACAAGCCCTTAAATTGTTTCTTGCTCACCTGCGCAGCTGCAGTCTCCAGTCTATCTGAACAGCTACGTGTCTCTGGTGCCGCTGCCACGTCAGGACGCAATGGTGGCCGTGGGTCGCCTATGCAGCGTCTCCGGCTGGGGCTTTACCACTTCAACCGGAGGCATCTCTTCAATCCTGCGCACAGTAAAGCTGCCCATCGTGTCCACCGCTGTGTGTAACGGCACAGACTCATTCAATGGAAACATCACCGAGAACATGATCTGTGCAGGATACAGTACAGGAGGAAAAGACGCATGCAAGGTGAGACAACTGATACACTTATAATGTGCTGTAATACTATTAAAACCATGATTATAATGTGTAAACCTGAATCCTGATATCAGATGGTCACAGTCTACATCATGATTTAGTAAAAGATTTGGTATACTGTGGGATATTGTGGTCATTAATTGCATTTTTCTAATGAGCAGAGGTTTGAACTAAGAAACAGTGACCCATACAATACAACTTCACCTGAATAAGGAATAAATTAATAAAAAGCGAAACATTTACACAGAATAAACCACTGGGGACTATTACCACTACAGAATTAAAGGGATTTACTGGACTGTGACCTTTTTTCAGCCATTATGTGGGTGTCACATTGGTTTAGCAAGCTGTTTAATTCCTTGTGCTATTTGCTGCTGTAAATGACTGGGTTTGATTAAAATAAAAAATGTGTTGCCCTATATTTGCAAAATATATTTCCAAATATATCCAGAACAACTCTTATTTAATAGTAGAGAGCATCTTTTTAATAAGCTAGCACTTGTAGTCTTTTGCAGTTTAGTTAAATAATAAAGAAATTAAAAAGGCTTGACATTTTATCTGATAAGGTTTTTTTATTTTTTACTTAATCAGGTCAGAAATAACTTGCAGAAATTAAGGAGTTGTCTAAATGAATGAATAAATAAGATACAAATACCTATATATATATATATATATATATATATATATATATATATATATATATATATATATATATTCTGCCAGGCGAAATCATGTGGCACGCACCCACCGCAAACCTCCGCAAACACAGCGATGATGTCACATTCCCCATGCACACTGAGTCAATAACAGAAAGCTGATTGGCTATTGCATGTTGACCCCTGTTTGTAGTCAAATTACAATTGGACTAGTGAAATAAAGAACTACAACACCATGAAAACCTAGCACCAACAACAAAAATGAATGTAAATGAGTATTAGATGCAGCGTTACATGGACATCGGAAAAATAAGACCCGTGAAAAAATATTTAAGACCTAGAACAGCGAATTTAAGATTTTTTAAGGCCTTAAATTTCGATTTTCAAATTTGAGACTTTTTAAGACCCCGCGGAAACCCTGTGTGTGTGTATATATATATATATATATATATATATATATATATATATATATATATATATATATATATATATATATATATATGGCTGTATATCGGCACTGATGAGAGGCGTGTGTTGACTCAAGGCTGCAGGCTGAGTGCCTTAGTGCCCCACCTGTGACGATGTATACGGCCATATCTCTCAGCTATGAGTGTGATATTGTGTTTATACAACTGTTTCTTTAATTGTGTATATAAAAATGAAAATCACAACAATTAACCCCAAAAAAGCCAAATTAAAGCAAACACTACCAGATTACTATGATAAAAATACAGCACTACAACATAGAAAAGAGAGAGATCGATTTAGAATGTCACTTACCTGTTTTATAATGTTTTAATCAGCTGTAATTTGAAATTACACTGATTTTTTCTCCACTAAGCACTTATTATGTAGTCTTTGTCGCCATCTTGTGGCGGAACGTCAACCATCTTTGTTCTGCTCAAAGACAGGCAAATGGCCACCGATGCACTGAATCTCCGAAATGATAACTATTTTAATAGGCACTATCCTTACAAATGAACTGCATAATTCCAATCTAAACAACGAAATTCTCACCTGAAAAGTACATTATGTTGTCCAACAGCTGCAATATTTGTCAAACTGTAATGAATTAATTGATCTGCTGTCACTCTATGTGGGCAGAGTAATGGACAAGGGTGAAAAGGCTGCAAGAGTGCTGATATTGCAGAATATCGAACAGCTATCAGCCAATCAGATTCGAGAACCACACAGAACCGTTGTATAAATATATAGAGATTTTTTAGAAAGCTATCAGCTATTTAGACAGCAAAACAGTACTATTATAAAATGATCCATGAGAAATTATTTAAATATTATAATTAGTTTAATAATTTCCTTTACTGATGAATAGAATGTAAAAAAAGCATAATTTCTTACGTAAAGTCACAAAGTCTTTTGTAATATTTTAAATGTCCTTGATGATAAACATGTAATTTTATTAAAAAAAAAAAAAAAAAAAAAAAAATCAACAACTTTTGAATCATATTTTAAATAAATAACCTTTCTTTTAACTAATGTCATAACCCCAATGTTTTTAGTGTATTTACAGTGTCTGCCTGGCTCCCATTTGCTATGCAATGATCAAATATGTGTTGAAAGCCAAATCATTTTCTTAGTTTCTTTGCACATTCCCACTGATTTGGTGACATTTTAATATGTCAAGTTCATCTCAATTTATACTAAATGCAATATCCTCTGCAATATCCTCGATTAAACGATTCCATTGTTAAGACAGTGAGTAAGTGTAAATACCCGAGCACCATCCCGGATGACAATCTAAAATTTGAGGCAAACACAAATTTTATTTGTAAAAAGACGAATCAACGTTTGTTCTATCACAACTTGAAAGGATTTAATGTGGATAGGCCTCTTCTTAGGCCTTCTAATAAAAGGCCTCTCTAGGAGAAATAGGCCTCTTCTCCTCTTCTGTTATTCTTCTTTAATTGAGTCTCTTTTAACTTTTGCAGTAATATGTTGGTATGGTAATTTAAGGGTGACAAGTAAAAACAGACTTACAAAAACTGTTCACTATCTCAAAACATTATGGGCACAAATCTTAACAGAACTGGGCATGTGTATGAGGTAAGAGCCATACAGAGGGCTATGTCCATTTTAGCCGATGAGAACCACCCACTTTGTTCCAAGTTTTGCCTCCTGCAATCAGGCAGGGGCCATGCTTATTTCAGATAACCTAGGTTCAAAAGATATTTAAATTCCTTTGGTCCAACTGCAGTTGGGTACCTAACAAGCTTTAAGCTTTATTTGATCATGCATATTATTTTTATTGCTTACGGTTATTTCTATGTTGTTTATGTGTTGATCTGTCAGCTATACCCTTCAAGGACAATAAAGAAATTCCAATCCAATTTAGCTCCAGTTTAACCTCCTGTCCAAAATCATCTCAATATTCTTCTGTTTCTGCAGGGGGATTCTGGAGGGCCTCTGGTGTGCGAGGGCCGCGTCTATGGCATTGTGTCCTGGGGCAATGGCTGCGCTGATGCCCAGTATCCCGGCGTCTACACCGCAGTCTCACAGTTTCGCCAATGGATTGATGCCACTATATTTGGCTTCTATGGAAGATGCCTTACGGACTAAACCTCAGTGTTACCTCAGCACTCCCCCAAAACAAACTTGAAACATGCCAACTTTTACAAGCTTACATCTATTTGGAAAAGTTAGGACCTCTGATGAAGTTCAGACAAGAAACACTGCTGTTCGGAAACGGCACATCTGTTCCTCAACGGCTGGTAGAGATTTTTTTTAAACACAGTAGTTTGTATGTTCGGTAAATGTGCCATATTGCTGCTTCTCTGTAAAGTTGCTGAAAACTAACCTTAGGAGGCTGAAGGAATGTTTTCTGAAAAACACAACAACCACAAATTATATTAAGTGGAATGGTACATGTAAGCAGGGGCAGACTTAACCAATAAGAGAGGTAAGCAGCCGCTTAGGGCGAATTAGGGGGCCCCAATGTCAAGAAGCCTACTGTATATTAATCATATAGCTCTTATATATATATATATATATATATATATATATATATATATATATATATATATATATATATATATATATATATATATATATATATGAGCTATATGATTAATATATAGTATCATAATATAGTATCATAAAGTATACTGTAGAATCTGGTTTTAATTATTAAGATTTTAATGTTATTACTGAATTTATTGTACTTAATTTTAAATTAAGAAGATAAAGGTTGTTTATTTACTAAAACAACAATAACAACAACAACAACAACAACACTAATCAATAGAAAAAAATAAATATCTATATAGTTTTGAGTTTCAATGCTTCGGCCCCATAACAGGAATTGCTTAGGGCCCCCAAATCAAGTCCACCCCTGCATGTGAGTAACTTTTTAACTTTAAAATTAATGCAATCAAATAGATTTTGATTTGAACCCTAAAAATCCACTTATATACTTTCAAAGATTTTTTATATATATATATATATATATATATATATATATATATATATAAAAAAGAGAAAAGTGTGTTGTCACACCTGTATAATTTTACAAAATGTTTACAAATTTAACAAAATATTAACAAAAGTATATATTATAAAGATATATATTTGATAATAAGAAACCTTGGTAACACTTTACATTAAGGTTGTATTAGTTAAAGCATGTACTAACATGAACAAACAATGAACAATACTACAGTGGTTGTTCAATTTTGATAAATGAAAATACAGTTGTTCATTCAGTTAACCCAAGGTGTATTAACTAACGTTAACATAAATGCATTTTATTACTAAATGTTGAACTATGATCAATAAATGCTGTACAAACATTGTTCATAAATAGTTCATGTAAGTAAATACATTAACTAATGAAACCTTACTGTAAATTGTGATTGACACCTTTCCTAAAAACATATAAGAACATACATAAACGTATAAGATTTTTGAGGGATCATACTTATGACTTGATTGCATGAATAAATTAGATTTTAAAATATGTATTTAAATGCTAAACTATGTATTACATATACTACAATGAAAAAGAGATGTTTTGTAATATTTTAATTTTTTATATTTTTTAAAAGTGTATTATCATACTTTTACTGTTTGTAATGTATTTTGGTTAAATAAATGCAGACTTGGTGAGCACAGAAGACTTATCATTTGTACACTGTTTTACCAGGTTATGGACAACATATTTTACCATTTCACCATAATAGTCATTATGGTCTAATATAATAATAAGAGTATACCAATAATTTGATATGTTATGATATGAAAATATTTGTCCAAGCTACAACATACATCCTAAAAATCTGGAATTTGAGGGTTGAAAAAAAGTATAGCTCTTAGCCATACCGGCATAGAAAATAGTAACTTTTCATTTTTGGTCTTAGTTCACAGTGCAACTACGTACAAAAGAGTCAAGCTTTCAAATAGACAAATAATTGAAACTCTTTGGTCATTTTTGAGTGAGATGCTAATGGCCTAATCTGATTCAATGCATTCAATGCTAAGCTAAACGTGCTTCTGCCAGACCTGGAAATAGGCTGAATGGATTAAAAAAATGTTTTAATCTCATCTGTTTAACTTTATGTAAATAGTAAAATGAGCCTATATAAAAACTCACTTTGGTTATGAAGCGTTTGGAAACACTCAGGGCTTAAGCTGTGCCAGAGCACGCCGGATCCGGCACCTCTGAAATCTGATCCAGCACCTCATTTTACCATTCCCCTTCCTCAATCTGCATCTCTAGTCTAGCAAAGTGCTATGCAGGTAAACCTCACTCCTCTGACCTTACAAGATGCTCCAGCGACACGCCATGGTCTTTAGCCTCCTTGTTAGAGCAACCGACTCCCATAAAAAGAATCGCTGGTTCGATTCCAGCTCAGACCAGATTGGGTGCAGTAGGACCGGTGGATTACATTTGGGGTCTTGTCCAAATGGGAGTGAAGTATAAGGGACTGTGTAACAGAGGCCAGCTAGCAAAGTGCAATGTGAATAAATCTCACTCCTCCGACCTCAAAAGGTGCTCTAGCGACAGACAACTTAGAGGCCATGGTCTTTAGCCTCCTTGCTAGAATAACCGACTCCCATAGAAAAAATTGCCAGTTCGATTCCAGCTGAGATCAGGTTGGGTGCAATAGGACTAATGGGTTACAATGGTAACATCGGTAAAGCCGTCCACATGGAGGTAGGTGGTCAGCGTGAACAGAAACAGAAGCTGTTGGCGGCATCATACCACCCTGCAGCATTAATTTTAAAGACCAAATGCAGCCTTATGCACCTATGGCTACATAATTTGCGCTCTCCAGAAATGTGTACAGGGGTAGGTTTTCACAATGAGCCTGTGTTGGCCATTGTTGTGTATATTTGTTTGTCCTTGCCTTTAATCTACACACTCCCCTAAACGATGTACCGTATGTGAATGACATTATCATTTTCAAAGACTTTTGTTTTTGAATGTTTACATGGAAAGTGATGGCGGTATTTTCAAAATCTTGCACTTAGAAGTTTTCACATTTTAGTGTTTTCAGCTTTCTAAAATAATGATTCCCGTTTCCATTATCACCTAAATGCACTCAAAAAATTATTTTTGCTGCTTGCTTAAACTACTTATTTAAAACGAGATGAATCAACACAATTCTTGAGCTTTTTTGGGGAGACAACTTATGTTCAATCCATTTAAATATGTTTAAAAAATTATGATTAAGTTAATCGATTTATGTTGGGACAACATGAAGGATTTGTGTGGAACCCAGCATTTTTTTTTACAGTGTGGCTCCTATAAAATGGACAATGAGACCAGATTCAGACTTCGATCGAATGTCATGTGCTGCTTTTAGAGGGAAATAAAGACTTTATCTTGTCACTTAAAAGATCTTAGAATAACTAGATAAGGGAAATTGGATACTGCTACAACTTTCCACAACAATCACTAGCAAAGCTTTTCGTTTTTGTTGCATTCACGGGATCATCTTGCGCTAATCTGCTCTGGTAAGTAAATCTGGCACATAGTGTTCAATCTAGTGTTCAAATCTGTCCTATTGTGCTGATGTTTAACTCATGATTGGATGCATTAAGTTCGGCCATCCACTCATCCACACTAACATGATTCCTGGAAGAAGTGGTTGAAATCCTGACAGATTAAACTTTTAAAGGCCATATCAGCTGATAATAAATACTGCATGCCCTACTTCAACAACTCTCAAATTACTCAATTAGAGAGATGTGCTTCGGTTTAAGGGAGTGTCCTTCATGCAGTGACGGAGATGAGGATTACATAAAGAGACGTCTCTATTGTGAGATTCATAACTTGAACTCATCACAGCAGATTTTGAAAGCCCATATCGCATGACACTTTCAGCTATTGTGTTTTATAAGGAGCATCTCAAAGGGAAATCTGGCTTTGTTGTTGTTGTTGTTGTGCAGATTTTCACACTGAAGGATTCAGTTCGGACTAACAATAGTCTCAAGATTGCAACTTTCAGGGGAATCTGGCTTTGTCGGAAATAGAAGGAACATGTCGTGTGAAGTTGACATGCGTCCGAAAATAAAACAGCTTTTTTTTAAATAATCAAAAATAAATAATTATATATTAGTGCAATATGGCTGTATATATCACTGGTGGGAGCCATGCGCTTCCCACCAGTGATGATATTCAGCCATATCATACTGCTACGAGTGTAATATTGTGTTTATACAACAGTTTGGCCGCATAATGGTGTGTATAAAAAAGAAAATCAAACATGAAGAGTCTAAAATCCTTTTTATATGAGGAACTACTTTCTTCCGCCATTCATTCATATCTGCAGCTGATGTCAGAAGAGCAGAAATCGCTGCTACTTTACAAACGTCACTGTAGAGCTAGTTTTTGAATGATTTTCTACCATAATATCTAAATTAATGACAAAACGGGTGATTTTGCTCATATTTTAAGATTATAAGGCTGAACGGCATGAAATGCCATCAGTCTACAGAGATTTCTCTGTTGCAATCGCAAAAATGAACCCTGAAAAAGCTAAAGCAATGGAAACACTACCAGATTACTGTTGTGTTTGCGATAAGAAAAAATGGTAACACATGGAGGCATTCCTTCTTTCTTTTACTGACATAGTCTGCAGTAATGAAAACAGGAGACTCATTAAAAACAAACAAATAGCCAAACGAAAACTAACTCAGGGTTATAAAAAGAGTGGCCAACACAAAATACACACATTTCTGATATGCGAGTTCCATCTCACATGCAATACACTATAATTACTATGGTATAAATACAGCAATACAACAAACAAATACGAAAGATTGACTTAGAAAGTCATTTACCTGTTTAATAATGATTGAATCAGCTGTAGTATGAAATTACGCTGAGTTTTTTTCCCCTAAGGGCTTATTATGCTGTATCTCCGAAATTATATACTTAGAAAATAAGCACTATCTTTATAAATAAACTGCATAGTTGCAATCTAAATAACTACAATCGTGCCTAAAAAAGCCTCAAAAGTACATTATGTTGTCCAACAACAGCAATATTTCGTCAGCTTAGAATCATAAGGTACTATCTGAAATTGTCAAAATTGAGTTATTGACATTCTTATTAAATGACAACTAATTTACAATATAGGATGTTTTTATGAGTTGTTTACTTTTTATTTAAAAACAAATGGTACACATACTGTTTGCTATAAGGAATGCAAAAACTTTAAAGCTTTTTAAATACACAAAGGTGAAAAGGCTATACAAGTTCTGATATTGCAGAATATCGCATGGCTATCGGCCAATCAGATTCGAGAACCAGACAGAACTTTTGAGTATGTATGTATGTGTGTATGTATAGCAGGGGTGTCCAAAGTCAGTCCTGAAGAACCGGTGTCCTGCTGATCTTAGCTCCAACTTGCTTCAACACACCTGCCTGGAAGTTTCTAGTATACCTAATAAAAGCTTGATTAGCTTGTTCAGGTGTCTTTAATTAGGGTTGGAGCTAAACTCTCCAGGACACCAGCCCTA